TCCACTCACCTCAGCCTCCCAAAGTGCTGGGATTACAGGCTGAGCCACCGAGCCCGGCTCACCCTTTTGCTATAAGACGCATTTTGCCCCAGCCCTGAACACGGCCCACAGGCAGCAAAAAGGAGGCGCAGGCTAGGCCCAACTGTGCTCCGAGGTCCTCTCAGGCCCAGTCACTCACACTGCATCCAGACCACACCCATGCATCAGCCCGTCTCCCACAACCCTGCTGCTTCGTACCCAACCTCCACTTGGCCCTCCGACCCCCACGTCCTGGCGTGTCTGCTGAAGGCCGGCGGTCAGCCTGGGCTCCCAGCTCACCCCAGTGCCTCCCATCCTCACGGGATCTCCAGGTGTGACCCACATCTGCCCTAACCCCTTGGCGGTGGGGCTCCCAAACCTGCTCCCCAAGCCCTGCCACCAGCACCAGGGCCTAATTCCTTTTTCTTATTCCCTTAATCTGTCATTTTTATCAGGCTGGGGAAGTGCGGTGCAGCGAGAACCGATCAATCTCCACATTACAGCTGACAGAATGGTGCTAATAACTTATTGATCTCAGCCACCTTGCAGCCCTGGCCCAGACCCTGCCCCAAAGAGGGGGACAATCCCACGGCCTGGCTGGGTCCCTGGCCTCAGTGACAGACCAGGCTGGTGGACCCGGGCGATCTGGAGGACCTGGCAGCACTCAGGTCGGGGCACATGCTGCTGAGTGTCTCCCTACGGCCTCGGGTGTGACAGCCCAGTGGCGGGGAGGGCCCAGTGGTGGGAGGGTGTGGGGTGCCAGCAGGGAGAGGGCCCAGCGGTGGGGGGGGGCACCGGGTGCCAGCAGGGGTAGGATCCAGCATCGAGGGGCACAGGGTGCCAGTGGGGAGAGGGCCTAGCAATGGGAGGCACAAGGTGCCAGCCAGGAGAGGATCTGGTGGGAGGGGCACAGGGTGCCAGCAGGGAGAGGGCCCAGTGGCGGGGGGGGCACAGGGTAGGATCCCACATTGAGGGGCACAGGGTGCCAACAGGGAGAGGGCCCAGTGACAGGGGTGCACAGGTTGCCAGCAGGGAGAGGGCCTGGGGGAGGAGGGACAGGGTACCAGCAGGGAGAGGGCCCCACATCGGGGGCATGGGGTGCCAGCAGGAAGAAGGCCCAGCGGCGGGAGGGCACGGGGTGCCAGCAGGGGTAGGATCCAGCATCGAGGGTGCCAGTGGGGAGAGGGCCTAGCAATGGGAGGCACAAGGTGCCAGCAGGGAGAGGATCTGGTGGGAGGGGCACAGGGTGCCAGCAGGGAGAGCGCCCAGCAGTAGGGGGCCAGCCTGATGCCACGCCCCAGCTGCTGTGCACGCCCCCCTCCCACCAGCACCCTGTAGGGCTAAGCAGGTCTCTTGCCTCGGAGCACCCAGGTTCCCGCCTTCCACAGTGGAAACGTCCCTCCTTCCTGTCGGGGGCTGGGGGCTCCTCACAGCCTGGTGAGGGGACACCAGCAGGTGTTCAGCAGGAGGTTCAGCCCCGTGATGCGAGCAGGCCAGGTGTCACACGCGGACACACTCTGGCAGCCCTCGGAGGCAGAAAAGGACCTGCTCGCGGCCCTCAGTCCTCGTGTCCGACCCGCCCAGGGCCCGGCGGGGGAGTCTGTGTTTGGGGAGGGGTAGGGCTGGGAATAGGACTGACATGGTTTCTGGGGTCACGGGAAGCCAGAAGAGGGGCAGCAGTGAATGCCCCCCGGGGAAATGCCTCCTCCAGAAGAAAGCCCCAGGGAGGGAGGAGGCTGACGCAGAGTGCGTGTGTAAGACATACACAGACACAGCACACGCGGCACTGCAAAGCCAGGCCTCAAGTAACCCAGTGTGCCCCGCGCTCAGCAGGCGAGAACCTCACAGAGCGGGCCCATCACGGGCACCACATGGGAACCCCAGATGTGGAATGGGAGGGGTACCCGAGGTCCCAGTGCCAGGCGCCCAGGCGGGAGTGGGTGCACACAGGCCAGAGCATACACACGTGTGTACCTGAGGTGTCCCCGCGTGTGCCGGCAGCCAGGCAGGGGCCAGCTCAGAATATCTTAATCACCGCAGGCTCCCTCAGCTCTGCTTGATCGATGGGGCAATTAGATTTTATCAGCTGCCTCCAGCCGCCGCCGCCAGTGAGCTCCAGAGCCGCCCCCCTGGCCCACAGAGGCCTTCCCAGACGCAGGTCCGCGCCGCCCGGATGGGGCACGCCAGCCGCGGGATGGGGCCCCCACTTCACCCTCTGCAGAGCGGCAGCCCCAGCTGGAAACGTCCTTGCCCAGGGTCCCCGTGACACCTCATGGCCCTGCCCTCCAGCCGAAGCTCCACCGTGCCTCCTCTGTGGCAGGGCTTGTGGCCAAGTGCCTTCCGGCTTGCTCCTCTGGACAGGGCCTGGGGTCCCAGCCTGCCTCTCCCTCAGAGTGCCGGGCCCCCTCCTTCCGGGGACCCAAGGAGGCAGGACCAGGTTGGGCATACTCGGTGGGGCCGTGGGGGGGTGGGCCATTCCAAAGTGGGCATTTTGGGGTCTCCGGGGCCTGGCCCGTCTGCCCTGTGAGGGGTGGCAGGGCCTCGGCCACTCCAGGCCCACCCCGGCGGCAGCCACGGTGGAGCCACTGCCTCTGCCTCCTGTCTGCCCGGCTGGCTGGGATTAACACAATTACCATCACTGGGAGCCCCGGGGGACAGCCGCCCGCACCTCCCACCTCCTCTGCCGCCTCTCTGGCTGCCTGCCAAGGCTGCTGGGGCCGACAGCGTCCAGAGCTGCTGAGTGGAGACACCCGCCGTCCTCCGGCCCTGCAGCCGGTCCCACCCTAGGCCAGGCTCTCACCTGTAGGTCCCAGGCTGATCTCCACACTGCCTCTCTGGAAGTCACAGCGGCTCTGATGCTCGGGCATAACGAGGTGGCGGCTGCGGTGGACGCTGGATATGAGGGTGGGAAGGTCGCCGTCCTGGCTGCAGCAGAGGGAGAGGCAGGCCTGTAAGCCGCCGCGTGGAGCACGGGCCAGCTGGGAGCACTGGGTGTGCAGGGTGTGAGTGTGCACAGGCTGGGCAGCTTCTGGGGGGGGGGTGCTGTGGGCCACAGACCAGGCCAAGCCACCCGACACAAAGCAGCACGGGACCTGGCACTCGGACACCGCCAGAGGGTCTGTGTGGAGTGCCTGGCTGGCTCTGCCTTTGCTCTCTCCAGAGGGGACAGTGCCTGGTTCTGCTCCCTGCCTGGAGGGTGACGGGGGGCTAGGAGGCAGGAGGACCCTGCACAGGGGTGCCGGGAGGACATACCCCCACATGTGCTGCCAGCTCCTTCCACAAGATGGACATTCGCAGCCATCTCCCGGTCCCCATTTTCTCCCAATGAGGACACTGGGGTGCAGCCGGCAAGAGGCATGCACACGCACACACGGCACTAGCAGACACACAACACACACATACGCCACATGCACTATGGCCACTGTGCTCAGGACACCCTGCTGTCTCCAAGGCAGGTGCAGGCTTGGAATCAACGCACCCTTAACTCTTTTGCGTTCTCATTTCTCTTCTTCCTGCCAAGTCAGCTGAATCCCACGTCCACAGGGCCCTGGAGACAGGGTGGCAGCCCCTCCAGGTTCCGTGGGCATCTCCCCGGTGAGCAGAGGGGAGTGGGACGGGGGCCCAGATGCTCCCCAGTGCCCCTCCCAGCACACCCCCTGCCCACCTGTAGCGGAGCAGCCTCCTTGGCTGCACTAAGGCCGGCGGAGCCTCCGTGAAGTGACCTGGGAACCGACCCTAACCCTCATTAAATAGCCCCTAGCGCCTGGCCTGGGCTGGCTGGAGCTGGGCTAATCCCCGGCTGGCCCCTAAGCAGATCAGTTTCAGCGCCAAAGACTCCCAGGCTGGGCTCCAAAGCCTCCAGGAAACCCAAACGTAGGTTCCCTCCCCCGCCACCCCTGCTCCCAGGGACCCCCACCCGCACACAGGAAGGCAGGTGGGTGCGAGTAAGTACTTTATGGGATTAGCTGGCAGCAAGTCTCATCCCCTCCGTGATCCTCACCGACACGGGGGTGTCGAGTGAGAACTGCTGTCCTCAGCAGGGGAAGGGACCAGCACCGACCTGCCGCAGACTTCTCCCCTTGGGGACATTCTGGTGTCCCCAGGATGCCTGCAGCATCCTGGTGAGGGTGGCCCTGTCTGCGAACGAGTGTTTGCTACTGTGAGCCCCCAGCCTGTCGCCCCCAAGGAAGCTCAGGGTAGCAGAGCAGCCTGGAGATAGCTTCAGGCGCCTTCACTCCAGGGGACACAGTCCGTGCAGGGATCACCTGCTAGGAATCGGGACACCACCTGCCCTCCCCCACCCTGTCTCTGCCTTGGGGTTTGCTCCTCAGGCCTGAGATGGCCTAGCCTGGCCCCTGCACACCTGTTCTGGTCACCTGGTCCCTTCTGAACAAATTAATGCCAGTTTCAGGTAAAGAGCCACAAAGAGCTTCCGTTCACACCTGTCTGGTCAGACACCAGCTCCCCCCGCAGAGGCCTTCGGTGCCAAACCCCTCCTCAACGACCACAGAGTGCAGCCCTGTCCATCTTTCCACAACTCAGGGGCCCAGGAGGGAGGGACATGTCTCCTGTCTGCAAACAGCGGCTCTAGGGAGCATCTCTGGCCTGAGTCTTCTGGGGTAGGGGCAGGCACAGGCCCTGGGCTCTCCTGTCTCTAGCCGGCAGAGCCAGCCAGGTGGAGGGACAGAGATCAGTGGATAGAAGCAAAGAAACACAAAGATGGAGGTGGACACAGGAGGCCAGAGGCAGAAGGAAAAACAGATAGGTAGAAACAGACAGAGCCTGGAGGTAATGGTGGCTGCTGGGGTCACATCAGCAGCGGGGACAGGCGGCTCTGGTCCACCGGGCACTGCACCCTCCTCCGGTGGGGACCCCCGCCAGCCCTCCCCTCGATCACAACCTTCCCTTTGGCAAAACTCAGAAAATCTTTCTAGGGCCTGTGCAGGAGGGAAGGAGCCCGTGTGGGCCCAGATATGGCTTCTTCCCAGACAGCGGGCTGCCAGCGTCAGTGCTGCCTCTGGATGCCCCGGGCGCCCCCGTATCCCCAGGCCAGCTGGCCGGAGGAGGGGCTGCGGGCAGGAGGCACCGCTCCTGGACTGGGCTTCCCTACAGGCATTGCCGGCAAATTTATCCCAGAGTGTCCCAAGTAAAAGACTCATAAAATGTCATCAATGTTCATGACGGTTCATAAAAATGATCAGTTGAGCTGGCAACCCCAAAATGAGGTGGAAATAAGTTTAAAGATGTTTTTATTGTAATTCGGCTCCAGGATCCAGACGTTCTCAGAGACTAAATAATAACACACCTGGCACAGGGCCAAGACAAGCTCCCGCTGGCCACGCCGCTGGGCCGGGAACAGGCCCGGCTCCCACAGCTCTGGCCACAGGAAGCAGGTCCCACCCCACATGCCCTCGCTGCCTCACTGGGCCCCTCCTGCTGCGCTCCCCTTGAAGCCACAAGGGGAGACCCCTTCAGGGGCCAGAAACCACAGCTGGGCTCAGTGCCTGGCCAACTCCTGCTCCTGTGGAGCCAAGACTGGGGATCCCGACCGCCCTGACCTCCCCATCAGGCCCCTTCCTACGTTGTGGACTTGCATGCCCCATCCTGCTTCCTCAGCCTGAATTCAACCCCCAAGCCGTGGGGGGCCTCCAGAAGAAATGTTTCCTTTCTCTTTTTTTGGGAGTTGGAGTCTCACGCTGTCTCCCAGGCTGGAGTGCTGTGGCACGCTCACGGCCACCGCAGTCTTGACCTGCTGGGCTCAGGTGATCCTTCCGCCTCAGCCCTCCAAGTAGCTGGAACCACAGGCGTGGGCCAGCACACCCGGCTAATTCTTTGATTTAAATTGGAGAGACGAGGTCTCACCACGTTGCCCAGGCTGATCTCAGACCCGTGGGCTCAGGCAATTCTCTCACCTCGGCCTCCCAAAGGGCTGGAATAGGCATGAGCCACCGCACCTGGCTCAGGAGGACTTTTTCAAGATACACACCCGGTCGGTCCCCTGCTCAACGTTCTGTGGTTCCCCTTGCTTGGAGGACAATGCCCGATGCACACCCATGCCCTGCACGCCAAGGGCTCCCTGGTGGCCCGTGGCCCGTGCAGCTGCTTACAGGTCTGCCCTTCCCCGTCTCACGTTGCCGCAGCCAGGACCCAGCACCTAAAGCCCTTTAGCATTCGACTGAGCCAGCCCTGCCAAGTTCTCTCCTCTTCCCCTCCCTATGTCCTTCCCTCTTTCCTGCGCATCTTTGCAGGCATTCCCTTTCCCTAGTGAACTCCTACACATCCTTCAAGACCCCACTCACACATCAGCATTCTCACCTTCTGGCAGGTCTCTGGGCGATTGGGAGGGGGAGGTCACAGCCTCATTTTTGGGCAGAGGGGCTCAAATGGCCAGTCCTATGTGGAAGTGGGGGTATTACTCCAGAACTGGGCTGCCCAGAACTCACACCTGTGCTGCTGCCCCGCCCTGGGCACAAGTCTGCATGTGGCTGAGCCTGGGGTCCCTCAGCCTCAACTGGGCTGGGTAAGAGCCCTACACCGACCCAGCTGACTTCAGCCCACACCAACTCACACTGGCTGAGACGGTGACAACGTACAGAGGTCACGGGGGAAGGCTAAGGAGACTCAGACAGCCCGGGGAAGCTAGCGACAAGGCGCCGTCCTGCCCGCGCAGGGCCCGGAGGAGGGGGCGGCTCCTACCTGCAGGACGTCTCTCGGAAGGAGATGTTCAGGTCCCAGTGGGTGTGGACTCTGCGGGGAGAGCAGCAGAGGGCCCGTGTAGCTCCTGCGGCCCCAGCTCCCGGCCGCAGGACCCTTCTCTGGCGCCCTGTGGGGGACCCACCGGGACAGGCCACGGGGGCCAGCTCCCAGCAGCCCCAGGAAGAGCAGCACAGGGGCCCAGCCCCAGCCCGCGCCCGGTGCTCAGAGCCCTGCGTTCGACTGAGGTTCGACTGAAATGGAACCCTTGTGGCTCGAGCTGCTCCAGCCAGACGGGGCCCGGGACCAGGTCAAGGAGCAAGCCCAGAGCTGCCAGCGGCTGGATGGCCAAACGTCAGCCCACACGGGTGCAGGCCCCTGCAGACCCGCCGCCAGGAACTGCCTCCTGCAAGTGGGCACCGCACAGCAGAGGGGCCAGTGAGGACACAGCTCCTGCCTCCAAGTGGCCCGTGCCTGAGGGAGGGCGTGCGGGCCCCGGCGAAGCCCGTGTCAATGCTCCAGTACCTTCTCTTCATGATACGAACATGGGGCTCATCCTCCTGCTTCAAGCCCAGCCGCCGCCCACAGGCCGGGACACTCCAGTCACTGTCCCCGTCGCTGGTGGAGAAGCTGGGGGTATGCTCCTTCTTCAGGGCCCGTGCGGGGGACAGAGTGACTGTCCTCTTGTCTGCTAGCCGCCCTCGGTTCTGCGGAGTAGGAGGAGGGGAAGGTGAGGCTGGACCCCACCGTCCGTCACCTGGGGTCAGGCCCTGGACTCACACACTAAACCCCAGCCCCCGACAGGGCCCAGGTGCACAGAAACCCTTAAGGGAGCCGCCCTCCCCCACCTACTCCCGGGAAGGGCCTCAGGGCCAGCAAGAGTCGCAGCTGGACCCTCCCCGACTCCAGCCCCGCCTGGTGGGGCTGAGGTGCAGGAGCCCCCTGTTGCTGGTCCAGCCGTGAGGACGCTGGAGGTGTGTCCTGGCAGCCCCCGGGGCCCTGGGCCTGAGCAGGTGGCAGGCCTCGGCTCCCCTCCCGGTCCCCTGTGTGTCCTGGGATCTGGGCTGGAAGCCTGGGGCAGGGATCTAAGGGTCGGTCCTGTGCATCTCCCTCTGCCTGTGTGTCTGCCTGGCAGCCCCACCACGCTCTGTGTGGACCCCCAAAGCGACACCAGCGGCAGCCGGCAACGTCCCTTTTCTGTTTCAGAAATGCTGAGCAGAGCCCAGCTCAGGGCAGTCCGGGGCCCAGTGGAACCCATGACTGAACCTGTGACCCCCGCGAACCGCAGGCCTGGAACACATAGGGCACCAGGCCCGAAGCCCTGACAGGCCCGGGCCCTCTGTCCCCTCTGCCAGGCAGTCTGCATAAGGCCAGTCTCCCTGTCCCCTGCACCCAGTGAGCGTGTGGAGCTGCAGGTGCCTCCAGCAGGGAGAACAGAGCACGAATGTGCCCAGATGTGCCCCAAGCTCACACACACAGTGGGGACACATACCAGCCCCGCACACAGAACAGTAAGCACGCGGTCCCAGCCCCAGGCATCTCTTGGCTATGCCAGTGCCCTTAAGGTCCCACCAGCCCCAGAGAAAAGAAGGAGAGTTATTATTTCCTGGTGGGCGGGAGGCTTGTTCTCATCTAATAACAGGTTTCTGGCTCCGGGAGCCGCCCACGCCTCTCCTCTGCTCAGTCATGGGGGGCTTCGCTGCACCCCCCTCCTCCTGCCAGAGCGCAGCCTTGAGCTTGTGGAGGAAGGTGTCAGAAGCCTGTCCCCTCCTGGAACCAGCTTCCGCCGCCACCTTCTCCTCAGGCCCAGAAGAACCTCCATCCCTCCAGCCCCAGCTTGTTCGGGCAGCTGCCCCTTCCTCGAGGGTCTGGGAGCTGGCGCATTCCCCACCCGAGGGAAGCCCCCCTTCGGGAGCCACAGACGCCCTGACCTGCCCTCAGGAGCCCCCCAGGCCTGCCCTGGGCCCCACTCAGTGAGACAGACCCCACACGGTGACGCTGGGCACAGGGTCCGAGGCTCCTGCTGAGACCTTGCCCTGGGCGTGGCCCGGTGCCTGCCAGAGACCATGCCCGTCGGCCCACGCCTCCACATTGGGGGCTCCGAGGGGAGGCCTTTCCCCAGCCCCCGCCTGTCTGGAGAGCGCTGTGCCTCTCCAGCTCTCCCCTTCTCCGGCCTGCCGCAGGGACCAGGACCCGGGACCAGGACCCGAGAAGGCTCTCCCGCCTGCCTCTCCCACCTTCCTGCTCTAGGCAAAACATCCTCTTGCGGAGAAGGAAATGCATTGCCCTTGGCTTCTGTCTGTGGGACAGGGAAGCGGGGGAAGCGAGCACCAAAGCCTGCCCCTTGGAAGGAGGCCAGAGCCTGATGGCTGGGAACGGAGCCCAGGCCACATGCCAGCCTCGGCCGGTGACGCACAGAGCGTGGGACATGCCTGCACCCCAGCCACGCCCCAGCGTGCCCCAGGGCAGGTCTGGGGTGGCTCGGTGGGGCTGAGGACCAGATTCTGCCCCGAGAGCACACACCCCCACACTGGAGGCCGCAGCTGGCTCGCACCACGCCAAGCGCACACACAACGGAGAGCCCCTCCTCACCCGGCAAGGGGGTGCAGTGTGCGTGGCCCAAGGCATCTGTACACTGTGTCCTGCCCCTGCAGGCTCTGTGCCCGCGAGGGGTGCACACAGCCGTGGACTGGTGGGGAGCCTGGGGAAGACAGCCTCTGAGAGCGTGGGGGCTGGAAGGAAGGGGCCCGGGGACTCCTTCCTAAGGGAGGGGGGCGGCCTGGGCCTCGGTCTGAGTCAGCCCTCCTGCAGGGCAGGGAGCCCCAGGTGGGAAAGGAAACGCACCCCCCTTGAGACAATGTCGGGGGTAGACGCTGGGCTCAGGCTGCCTGCGCCTCACTCCGGTGCCAGGCCTCGAGGGGCCCCTCCCGCCCAAAGAGAACTCCCAGGACAGCCGAAGGTGCCCCGGGGCCCTCTCTGCAACACCAGCTGCTTGAAAGAGGGGAACTGGGCCTCTTGCCAGGGAAGGCACGGGACAGTGGCCGGGGTGGCTGTCTGTGACACCTGTCAGGGAGCTCGGTGCATGGCGCGCCTGTGTGTGCCATGAGTTCGAGCGTGTGAGTTCCCGGGTCAGACCGTTGTACAGGGTGGACAGAGGGTGAGGGGCGCTGTAAGGCCTTCCCCTGCCAAGGTGCCTGGTTCTGAGCACCTCCCAGCCTGGCGACCTGCCCTCAGGGACGACACAGAGCCCGGGACATCCTCTCCCCTCCCCACCCCACCCCACCCCGATCCACAGTGGACAAGCCCAAGGCTTGTCCCCTTGGGTCCACATCGTGCCTCTCACCCCTCTCCTGCAGGAGGGGCCGCCGAGTGTGCTGGGAACTGGGCCCCAATCCCCAGCAGCCAAGGCCCTAGCTGACCCTCCCCCATGGGTTCCAAGTTGGTTACTCTCATCAGACTATTTCCTTTTCGTGTAAATTCTCCAAACCTTGCTGCTGGGGGGGGAGGATGTGCATCCCTGATTGGAAGGCGGCACCCAGCACCCCCACCTCGCCTGCTCCTCCAGACTCACAAGAACGTCAGCAGCTCTGGACGCTGGGCTGGGACCTAGAACTAGCCTCAACTCCGGCTCTCCCGACGTGGAAGGCCCACGCTGCCAAGACCTTGTCCCCAGCTGGGCTCCGTGCCCGCTTGGGCTCTTGCCCCCCGAACACTCTCGCACATCTAGGCCCCTGCTGGGCAGGGATCCAGCCCTCAGCACCCCATCGACACATGTCACTCACACCCACGCCCCCGGCCACTCAGACCGCAGTGGCACCCAGAACCAGCACCTCGCCCGGGGAGGCCAGATGACACAGTGACCCCCAAGCCCGGGGTGGGGCAGAGTCTCCAGGCCCACGTTGAACCACATTACCCAGGGAGAAAACCCTCAACCCAGGCCTGGAGGAGAGGCAGCTCCAAGGCACCCAGGCCGGGAGGGCTCGTGCCCGACTTCCCCGCTCTCCAGGTAGAGGCTGGGAGGCCCCAAGGCAAAGCCCCTCCGGCCGCCGCTCGCTCTTCGGAGGCCCCCCACGGCTCGCGGGGAGTCCGAAAGCACGGGGCCAGCGCCGCCGCCGGAACGATGAACCCCAGCCCCAACGCGTCTCCCGCATCTCACCACCGGAGAGGATATCCGACAGCCGGGGCAGTCGCAGATGGGAGGGTGCACCTGCAGGATCCCCCTGGACATAAGCGTCTTCAGACTTTTCCCTGCGAGGAGAGGCGGGCAGGGCCCGTCAGCCACGAGGCCAGGG